ACAAACACGTGTTAGGACCCTTCGACTTCGACGAAGGCACCGATCTTTGCTGTATACTGTTTGCGAGAAGCGCACGGCGCTGGGGAATTTGTCAAGATTCCTAAAGGAGAAATGTGACGGTCTGCAAGACTGTGGCGAGGAGCGGGGCCAGAGGGAAGCGCGTCCAAGCGTGAAGCTGGCCTACAGACAGGAGCTCGTTCGCAAACACAATGAGAAGGCTCAGGCGCAAGCTCTGCGTGTGTTGGTTGTACCAACTGATATGCAGCAAGGTATGACTCATGACTTGCACTTTGTGTCATGAGGAAGCACCCGAAACTTGGAGAAGAGTTGTTAAATTCACGCGGCAATGTTGCCCCTGCAATGCGGGTGAAGATGCTTAGGCCCCGCTATGTGGTCGACTTATAAGAATCGTTTCATAATCTCTGCATGCTTTTCAACGGGAGGCTCTTTTTCATTTTGCGTTGACCACAGCAATCGCTTAGCGACTGTAGCAAGTGGCACTTCCTTGCGCAGCATGACTTAGTCACAACCTTTTGCATGATGCACCGCATGCTGTGCGCTCAGAGTTGTGGGAAACCAGCCCGCGCAGGAGCCTTGGCTCCGAACCATGTGCTCATGTTCGTGCAGAACCCCGCTCGGGTACTGCGCACCACCCTGCGTGGACGAAGAGAAAGATCTTAACCGTGTCAAGGTCTTCGGGACGCCCTGCTGGCTGCTGGTACGAAGGGCCTTCAAGTCAACTTCAAAGCTTTTCCGCAGCAGGCTCTGCATTCCGGAGTGGGGTTCCGTTCTGCAGAGATGTTCCGGAGCGGTTCCGGAGTGGGTTCTGGAGCGGTTCCGGGCGGGTTCTGGAAGGTTCCGGAGCGGGTTCCTGAGCATGTTCCGGAGCAGGTTCCGGAGCGGATTTCCGAAGGGGGTTCCAAACCGGCATTTCCGGAGGGGCTTCCGGAGCGGCTTCCCCGCTCGCTCAGACCAAAACCATTGTGTGCCAAGCCTCGCAACATGCATGATCACCAAAGACTTGGGCATACAGTGTCCTATGCCTTATGCCATGCAGTCTTAGCACAAGGTTTGTTATGGTGATATCATAACATCCATTTGCCATGAGCTGTTGGGGCTTCAGTGGGCTTATTTATTCGTAGGAAAACTGAGTTTAATATTGAAACTAATATTAAATACTATCAATACAAAAATACATAATGCTGATATTGATACGAATACCAATATTAATTTGCTACTATGTATATGCGTCAAAGCCTTAATATTGGTATGAATGTTCGGACTAACATTAATGCACCATTTAGTATTACTATTCACATGTAAGAATATGCGTATTAGTATCCGTAGGAGTGTTAATGTTCGCATTAAGCACTAAAACTAGCATTTGTATGTAAACTAGTTTTCGTATTAATATTAGCGTTAACTTGAACATGATGTTTACTACTCGTAGGACCATCAGTAGTCACATTCGTATCAGTGTTGCCATTAATGTTAGTATTCGTATTAGTATCAATATTAGTTTTTGCGTTACTATTAGTATTACTATGAGTATTACTGCTCGTAAGCGTTTAGATATTTCATACTGATACAAGTAATTGGTATGAGTATTTGTTTATACTAATATTTAACATTAATCTTCATATGAATACGCATATTTTTCTTCGTAGGATTACAAATCTTAGTATTCGTATTCGTACAAGTTTAGCTATTGTAAACATTGGCGCGTGAGTAATCTAAGAGCTTCACACAGAATAAAAATGTGTGCACATGTAACCCTCATTACGATCTTAGGTAGGATCATCACATCGTTCCGTCTTGGTCGCGTCTTTGGGTTATGCCTATGATCAATTTTATGAACTGAATCATACACAGAAAGTGATAAACACAAACAATATCCGGCACATTTAACGAACATACGTAAGATGCAGACATCGTTATGTCTTGGTCCGGTCTTTGTGCTATGCCTATTATTTTATGAACAGAAGTATAAACAGCAAATGTTGAACACAAGCAATATTCGGAACATTTAGGCAGTATCCTAATACACAAATGGAAGGCAATGAAGCTTGCCCAGATCCGCCAACCGCCAACCGGCGATGTCGCGCCGTCGTACCCGTGGTCATTACAGTGTATTCAGCCAGTAATTATACACGATATATGCTACTATTGTTTATGTATGATTGGCTTAATCATTGTGGTTTCCTGAAGTCCTTACATGTTCTACCCACTGCTAGCCGAAGCACCTCGCGGTAGGTTTTCGGGAGGGGGTGAGCATATAAATATAAATAAGTAAATAGATAGATAGTTAAATAAATAAATAAATATATATATATATATGTGGCAACGTGTGGGCCAACTTGTGGCTGTGGCTTTAATATACACCAAAATCCTATTCAAACTAGCGGGACCCCTACATTAGGTACGTGGCCCTGAGTGACTTAGTCAAGTAACGAGGCTTCGACCGCGGGGTTCCGGATTGCATTGCAAAGTTATTGCGATCAGTATTAAGGCTTCTGAGGTTTCGGCTGTGTGAGTGTCATTTAGTGTTTGGGGTTTAGGACTTCTAGCGTGTGTGAGCTTTAGGGCTCGTGAGCTCTACTAGGGTTTAGACAGGTCTTAATTAGGTTTGAAGGTTTGAGGCTTCGTGTTTAGGGTTTAGGAGGAAGTCGCATTGGATTGGTTGCGGAGGTAGTATGTATCCTTCCGACATCGGATCACCAAGGCTCTTCCGGGTCCTTGACAGCTGCACAGGAACAAGGTCACGTGCTGATAAAAAGCCTGGTGTTTTGAGGCTTCCATGCAGGCTTGTAGAGGCCGAATGTACTGTAAATTACGGTAGGTTTGATCTTCTGTTGTATTGTCTGTCTACATGGGTGCACACGTCAAATCTCGTTTTACTACCTCAACTTGCCTAGCTCCTTCTTCAAGTCTACATCTACAGGGAGATGATATCTCTTATATGTTGTGCCTTATCGTACCGCAGCAGGAAGACCTGTGCTTTGGCTGTGCTCGTATAGAGTGGACTTCCCATGCCGCTGGACCCCTACTTCAACAGCAGTACAGGAATGAGCACATGCTGCAGCATATATACGTATATAAACATTAAGCCCCAAAATTCTTGAACACTAAGCCCCAAGACTCTCAACCCCAGCGCACCCCAAAGCCTCAAATACCCGAAAAGGAGTGTTGCCTTGGGTTCGGCGCTGCGGCTGCAGAGTTTGGTTGCGTTGGTTGGCGGCCTCTGCTGCGCCCCTTTGGTCAGCCCTCCCGAAATTTCACACGCGGGCCTTAAAGAGCACGGTTCGTTGAAGTTTAAAGGATCCGTCAAATTGCGGCGTAAAATAAGGGCAACAAGAAGGATCCAAGCCTTTATGTGTTTAGGGTAGTTTTTCTGAGTTCCGGGATGTACGGCTTTTAGGGCTCTCCGGGCTTCTGTTTAGGGTTTAGGGTCTTCAGGGTCTTTCGGGCGTCTGTTTGGGTCCGGAATTTATCGCTCTCATTTTTTTGCAGTTGGGCTTAGGGCGTGAAGCTAGAGCCTGCGGTTTCCGCGTTTTGAGGCAGGAAGGCTGCAGGGCATCGAAAGCCTCGGGTTTCGTGGCTTTGGGGGGTGTCGGGTCATTCTGGAGGAGAGATCTCAACTCCGTGCAAGATTGTCCATGTTGTGTTGCTTCCGGTCATATTCTTCCGGACTTCATGAGTGCAGTTCGTTGGATATTATGGTATGCTCTATGCTGATATGTTCTATTCTGTTCTAGTCGATTCTAACATTCTGTCCTTACATATATATATATATAGAGAGAGAGAGAGAGTCATACAACACCATGTTATATCGAGCCATATCATACTGGATTCTACTGCTCGGAATATCAGCTCATGCCATGGCATGCCATATCGTAACATGTCATGTTAAATAACATGTATTATCCAATGTTCCAGCATCATACTATCTTATCTGGTCTTGTCATAGGTTGGCTCACTTCAGCTTAAATGTCTCTCTACTATCTAAAATTCATGCTGTTTTATCCTATGGTCTATTTCGCTTTGTCCGATTATAGAGTGCTATGTCATCTTGCAACATATTTAATTTATTCAAGACTACATGCCTGTTGTATCATCTTATACCATGGTTCGTCTTACCCCCATCGTAGCGTACTGTGTTATCTTGCATAGTACACCAACCAGCTTATACTACACTACACTATGTGGCTTCATGCTACATTACATTATGCTGAGCTATACCATGCTATATCTTGTCATATCATGTTACATTTTCGTATACAATACGATGCTATGTTACGCTATGCTCCGCTATGTTAGACTACATAGTATGAAAACGGATTGCATTAGACTTTGTTAGACCCCATTGTAATTCCTTGCATCACAAAAGTTGTACATCATTTCTCATTATACTATAGTTTGCTATGTGTTCTGTACTGTATTGTGTTGTACTGTTAATTAGTGCTTCTAGCATATCAAGAACACACACACACACATATATATATATATATATATCTACATACACACATATACAACACGTTATGGCTTGTAATGTAGTATATGAAGCTGTATTCTGTAGCTGTGTTGTGGTGTTTCCCAATCCTAAACCCTAAACCCTACACCCAAAGCCATGCATTTACGGCCCGAAAGTCTTTTGCCAGGCTCTGGTCTTTCCGCCGGTGCTGCACCACAAGCTGGCCCGGCCTTAAACCAAAAGGGTCCTAGGTATTGTTGTGTGGGATACCCTTCTAATTTATAGAGACCATACACTGTACTATACAGGTACTTAGTTAGGACCCTTTGAGAAAAGATGTCAGGGTTTCGTAAGCTCGCGATTCAGGGTTTAGGTGAGGATTGAGTTTTAACATTTTGGGTTTAGGGTACTTTGAAAATGTAGGGGTTTGTTTTCAAGGTTTAGGCATTCGGGGATTCGATGTTCACGTTGCGGTGTTTCGGATTTGCCTTGACTCCAAAGCCTAGTCTTTGTAGATGAGGCAAGCAAATCACGGCAAGGAACCCCCCCCCCCCCCAAGTGTAGTGTTTATTGTGCTACAAGTGGGTTCAGGCATATAAATACTTAGAGTTCCTGGTTTTAGGGTGTATACCTAAAAACTGAATTGCCTACAGTCCTATTGCTCCAAATCCTGATTTGTCCGGAAAAGGTAGGTTTTGATGCGATGGAGCTTGGTTTCGGAAGTTCTGGAAGTTCCCCTATACTCTTTCATTCAGGGGTCTCATTATGATAGTAGAAAATTTGAGGTGCCCTTACGGTTAAGCAGCCGTAGGCTGCAAGCTGGAAGGGAGAGATCGCGTCTTGGGGTTTAGAGCTTGGGGTTTGGGTAGTTCGTGATTAGGGATTGGCTAGGAGTGAGGCAGCCAGGGTTCAGTGCTTCGGGTCAAGGGTTAGATGCAAGAGTTTGATACATGGAAGCCCGAATAGTTCGTGGCACTATTTTGTTCGGGTTGCTTGAAGTAGCCATGCCATTATACAGCCCCCAAACCCAATTCCGCATCATTGCACAAAGTACGCAGATTCCTCGACCTTTCAGAGGAGGGGGCTCTGTGGGATTCAGACAAAGGGCCCCGGAGTACAAGAAAGCCTGGACACTTAAAAAGCCTTATGCTGAAAGAAAGCACCCCCCCCCCCCTTCCCTCGACCCTATTACCTTCGGTCCCCATTGTAGTTCTTTTTCTGATTTAACCAACTTTATATTGTGGGTCCTATGCACCACACCAAGCAAAATGCAATGTCCACGCTTCGGCAGATTGGCGGCCAGTGGAAGCTGGATGCTGGGCTGTCGTTGCTGGGTGTCATGTACTTGGCTCAGACTGCTGTGGTGGCCTGGGATTTGTGGTTCATGGCCAGGCCCTAAACCCGTACTGTAAATCCCAATGAACCCTAGACCCCCAACTCCAATAGGCTTTAGCCGGTAGTCCAAGGGCTTTGAGCTCGGGCTTGGAATCTTGGTTGTATGCTTGGGGCTTATAGGGTTTAGGGTTTAGGGTTTATGGGTTTATGGGTTTGGCGTTTAGGGCCGGGGTTGACGGTCTAGCGTCGAGCGCCCGGGGTTTAGGTGATGACTCTTCAATTTTATAGCCAGCCCCGAAGCAGTAAGATAGCGGGCTGAATCGTAGACTAGTAGCTCTAGGGTTGCGTAGTAGGGCTATAGAATTAGAATGTTATAGAAGACGCCCCTTTACTAGGCAATAATGTCAAGATGATGTGCCCTCGACAGACTTGCAACATGCTGCACCAGAAACCACAGCCAGCCTGCCCCAAAGCCGTTGTTAAGGTTGGCGACTGTATCCTCTGTTCAAGCCGCCTGGACATGGGACGTGTATCAGGCACGGGAGAAAACAAGCAAAGAGTTGTGGCTTGCAGGGCTAGGGCTTTAAATCCATTTGTCTCAGGTTGTGTAGACTTTGAATTGCAGCGTTTGACGATTCAGGTTCGGCGAATGCGAGTAGGGTTCATGTCCAGCTAGGGTTCATGTTCCGGAGCCAGTGATCAAAGCGCTATGCATTGTTGCAAAAGCGTATTGGAAGTGAGTGGATGTTTGGAAAAGCTAGATTTTGCCATACATGATCGCGGATGCAACGCTGCGCTGTTGAGGGAACCCGTCTTCCCGCTTCCAATCGTTTCTTCCAGAGAGCAAGGTCGCCATCCGAAGAGCAGTAGCCGTCGGGACCATAGTCGTGCAATTTTAGCAGGCAGGACACTGATCAAAGAAGACACACAAGGCAGCAATGACAATATTATTCATCAACGAAGCAGTGGTAGATGGTGTCAACCTGCCAGTAGTTGTATACAGAGAGCGAGACATATGCCTATATATATATATATATATATGCTACCCCCCCCTCAAGGATCCACCGTTTTGGCTGTTTCAGAAGACTGGATCAACCGTTTTAGCTGTTACTGAAGACTGTGAAGCAAACGAAGCATTTATGAAATGTACAGTAAACGAGTGTGATGCATGTTGACTGCCACTACTACTGCTACTAGCACCACCACTACTACTACTACTACTACTACTACTACTACTACTATTACCACCATCACTTATAGTACAAAGGCTAGTACAGTAATCTCATTCATATTCACATCAATATTAGCATGATACTAATACTAGTTAGTAGCATATAT